TATTATTGTTGAAAAGAACGAATAGGTGCGTAGAATTACTTTAAACAATGGAGGGAAAGACGAAAAAAAAGTCAAAAATTGTTTTAATACACCAACTAAATTTATAAACAAAATTTTAACTCTCCGATTTAATTTAAAGGGAGTGTGGAAGTGCCTAACATATCATAAACTGGTAAAAAATGACAAATTAATGGCGATGTGGAAGAAAAATTGAAGATTGAATTTCCATGGGAACATATGCACCAAATTCGAAAAGCTATTTCTCTGCGTAAAATTATCTCATTTCAATAACTTTTTTTATTGATTGGAATGCATAGACACACATCAAACATCTCCGAAGACCCCTACAGGGTTTCTACAACATATATAAAATGCACCCTCGCCCCTCTGATAAACACTCCACAGGATTCTTAGAAGCGAATGAGACAAGATTAGAAAGAGTAGGCTGGTTTCAGGAAGCACTGAAGTACAGTAGACCTTATCAATATTGTGAGGATGTGGCAGTCCTTGTGTCCTTGTGACAGTGGCAGGAGAAACAATGTGGCAGTTCTCAAACACATCCTTCATAGACTTCGAGAGCACTGAGAAAATACTACATTTGGCTTATTCTGGAGAAGTACGAGGTACCTATGAAGATTATTAAAATTATCAAGAAGATGTGCAAGGACTTTTAGTGCAGGATACTACTTGAAGGAAAGCTGTCAGGCAATAACAAGACAGATTCGGGTGCACATCAGGGATTCGCATTGTCCCCAAATCTATTTATTATCGTGTTCAATGCTATTATGAGGAGGGTACTGGGTCGACTGAGGCTGGGAATCTAGTGGACACTAAGCCAGAGACTGTATTAGTTAGAGTTTGCAAATCTAAAAACTTCGGAAGAAGAAGGAAAGATTGGCCTTTCACTAAACATAAAGAAAACGAAGAAGATAACGTAAACCCGAGGGTCGCAGTCTCCAAATTAGCGAGGGAACTATTGAATGTCTGTCCTTACCTTGGTAGCATGCTCTCAGAGAAAGGAGGAATCGACTAAGGTATCAGAGAACACTATCGGAATGTCAATACTGCGTTCATCCAGCATCCTTTTGGAGAAACCGGAGTGTGTCAGTGCGTACGAAATTATGGATCTATACAATCAGCCTCTATACATGGTTCAGGAACTTTGAAGGTCAAGGGGGTGTCACCAAACTGCAAGATTATATCAATCGCAGTCTCCGCCGCATCAGGTGGAACGAAAATGTCTTAAACCAAGACCTTCGTTACAGAGCGAGGCAGAGGACGATTGAGCAAGACATAAAAAGATTGTGGAACTGGGTTGACCATATCTTCCAGAAAGAGCCTGAACAGTGGAAAGGTTGGGCTTTGATTCGAATCCCCATAGGGCACGCCGAAGAGGATGCCTCGCATAACCTGAAAGAGATCCGTGCTAAATGAAGGCGTAGCAAGCAGGAAAGACTTGGAGAGTGGTGAGGCGCTGTTGACATGGATAGATGGAAGATGGTCGTTGAGACCCTTTGGTCAATTGGAGACTATAGAAGTTACGCCAAGTCATCCTCTTCAATAAACTGCCGAAGTTTGTAATTGTAATATATAATAGAAGATGTATAAAGATGTAATAGAATTTTTGTATTCTATTAAGAATATTACACCAAACAAAAACATGTACAAAATGATCTATATTTTCAAATAAATACTGTTTGGATTTCGATGATGTTATTGTAGTTTAGGAAATCTAATTACCTTTAAAATATTTACTGAAATCCTTAGGAATCCTAATCCTAAGAATCTATAGGAATCCTTTTAAAATTAGTTATTTTTGATTTATTCGAAAAACAAAAACAAAAAAAAAAAAGGCGAAGAAGAAAGAAAAAGTTATGATCCCAAAATGACACTTTTCCAACACCAACTTAATTAAATATAACTATAAAACAATTTTTTTTTTTGTCTTAAGAGAACAACACTGCTCCCCAAATTTCAGCTTATTTTGGATCCGAACAGGACTGGTAGAGGTACCCAAATGTAGATGGAAGTAGTTTTATATATATATATATATATATATATATATATATATTCAACCTCATAATTGTGTTACAGGGGTCCTAAAACGGATATAAAAAGCATTTCAACCCCAATTACCTTCTATATAGTACAATATCTATAATTTTCGTGAAACATATGACTAAAAAAAAAACAAATATCAAGTACACCAACATACTAAAATGACAAAAGTAAGTTTTGATTCATGAATTTATGTGTTATAAAATGTTGTGACGACATGGAATATTGTTGTAGGAACTCTTCTATTCAGTTGAATTTAATTAAAAATCTAATACACGGATAGGGTTTGAAGGTCGACCAACACCTTGTTGCAATGATAATTATTCCGCCTTTTAATAATTTATAATTAATATTTTAATAATACCTGAAATTAGATAATGATTGATAAATTAATATAAATGGTTATAGATGGTGAGTATAAGAAGTCCAGCATTGGTTTTTAAAATAAATTATACAGATATATTTGATAGGACATATTCAAATTGACTGAATGGGAAAATACTCCAATATAAAAACAAACAAAAAATTCATCTCTGGCTGCTTATTCATTTAATTAATTTACGTTTCTTAAAATTTCAAGAGAGCTAGAATGTATAAATTAAACTCATAAAACGCAATATAAATCCATGGACTGAGTAAGCAAGACTAAAGAGTATAGTCGCTCATGAATCAGAGATGAATAGCCAAGAATGATTCACACAATTATTTATTCATTATTCATCAGTTGTAATCCAAGTATTGCAGAAATTTCCGAGGATCGGAATAATTCTGTCAACACTGTTTTTGTTGTTGAGTGATGTGACTCAAATCATCAAGCTCTATTTAGTTTAATAGATATACTTAAATAAGGAATTGATTATTCACCAAATGAGAGGAAAATTACAGTTTCTAAGTTAATATGACATTCTGAAATAAAGCCTTAGGTATTTTATATTAAAATTAAATAGTTCTCTCTGAGATGTTTGAAAAGAAGATGGCCTCGTGATCTCCTAATTTATTAGAGAGGGTAGATTCTCCGCAAGTCTTTTCATACCATTGTATTTTCCTGAATCACAGTTACTGCATGTATATATTTATTTCATACAGTTGTAAATTAAATTTGTATAAAAAAAAAAATAATAGTTAAACATGTAACGTTTCACCGAATCAGACATCATTATGGGAGAAATATATGAGATCGAAAAAGTGCAAATTCCAGATCAAACGTTTGTTTTTACGTGTTAGTTAGTTTTTTAGGGCTGTTTATGTGAAATGTACAGTTTTTTAAATGCATTTCTGTGATCATATTTGTCTGCCTTCCAGGTTTCTAAATAGGCACAATAATTATATTAACATCATCCTAAAAAGTTATATAAATATTTACTCATTTATTTAAGGATAACTTCTTTCAGGTACAATAATTTCAGAAATAAATTCAGAAGTTTATTGAGCATTAAATAGGTTTTTGTTTTCAAATAAAATTTTCATTGAGATAAATTTGCATAATCTGTACGTGACAAGTTTTTCAGTATTTGGTAATTGTTGAATAAACGCGGAGCAAGAAATATCTTCTTTTTTTTTTTTTTTTTAAATAACAAGGAAATTCGATTAAAGCTCAATTATTTCTTTCATACTGCATATTTAATTGAGTACTTCATTTTATTGATAATTATTCAGAAAACGATCTCTTCCTTTTAGAAACAATGGTGTGTAATATCATGATGTAATTCCCACCGGACTCTACTCGGTATTATTGTACTCTTAAAAGTGACATTAGAACGAGGTCACTCAAATACATCTTGTCAGGATTTTGTTACTTATAACGCTGGTTCGTGTTAAGATGAATAATAAATGCATAAGGAATAATTATATCTTACAATTAGTCATATAATAGATTTTTAAAAATTTAAAATAAACAACCTTATTTTGATTTTTCCTTTTTAGCAGTATCTTGATTTGATTATTGAATATAATAGGCAAACGATTAAGATTTTTCAGGATGCCCCATTACTCCCACAAATTTATTTCATTAGTAAAAACTCCTTTAAACAAGAAGGTATTTTATTTTACATAATTCTGACATTTTTGCAATAATACCAATTTCAAATATTCTGATATAAAATAACTGCCATAAAAAAAATTATCAACAAATTATAAAGAATCCAAGATAATGATTATGGTGATATTAAAATATTAATTGTTTTCTTTATTACAATTTATCACAATTACTTGGAATTTTATCTGTCGTGAAACTGTAGCATATACGTTTCTTAAGATAGGAAGTTTATTCAGAATGAATCAATAAATGTTTGCCTGAATATCAGGTAACAAAGAAGAAGATAATAAGAACAGCTGTTTTTGTCATGAAAAATAAATGCCAAAGTAATTGTGATAAATAGTAAAAAAGAAAACAATTAAATTTACGATATTACCATAACAATTACTATCATGAAGGAGTATACTATATATTTTTAATTGCATTTTTTATGACTGTCCTTTTATTTTAGAAGACTTGAAAATGGCATTGAAGTCGAAACTTCATACTATGTATAAAATAAAAATATCTTGCTGAAAGGTTTATTTTATTGATGAAATAAATTTGTGGGAGTAATATGATCTTTATAAAAACCTCATTCTTAATTTAAATAAATATAATAATTCTTAAATTTATTTCACTTTAAGGAACAATTCTAACTTCCAAATCGATAATTTAAAATTATAACAAAAAAAATCTACCCTAGAATGACACTACTTTCAGCATCATCTATCATGAATAAAGAAGTGGTAGAGTGAACAACAGAAACGATAATATTATATAAAAGGAAATTTTTCGACTGTAACCGCCAATAGCGAAAACTAGTTGGCCTATTTATGAGTTGTTTTTTTTTTTATCAAAATAGTCTTAAATCTAAAAAAAGAACAACACAAAGTTGATAATAAAAGATCTAGAACAGAGAAAGGGGTCAGAGATACCATTGGCAGGCACCTGCATAGGGGCTTATGTTTGCTGTGAACACACGTAGGAATGTGGGTGAGATGGTATCACCACATCTGGCGACGCGTCTTCCAGTCCTGGCTGGGCAGAGTCTTTTCTGGAGCTGGAGGGAGACAGTTCTGGAAATATAAATAGAAGCAGAGAAAATCGAGAAAAACGATACAGTTAGAACAAAATTTAGAATTCGATGTATCATAATACAAAATCCCGAACCATCGAATTAGTTCCCGAGACCAATGCAAGCCGAAGAATTCAGAATCTGGAATTCAAATGAAATTGCATTATTGATGGTCGCTAATTATCATTGCAAGATCGTTCTTCAAAAACACATACTATGTTTAGGAAAGTTCCAGAATCTTAAGAGAAAAAAAAATCGAATGTAATAAAATAAAGGGAACGATTTACATGACAATATGTAAATCCAGAGTACAAGTCCAAAAAAACATATCTAGGATAGCGAAAAACAGACAATAATTATGAAAGAGGAAACACATAAGAAACTATCAATACATAGTCAGACATACTTTTTTGTAAGCATGTACCTTAATCATGTAATAGCATGTAAATTAATCGTTAATTTTAATTTTTACTCCAGAACGTTACTAGGGTTAATAAATAAAACGTAAAAATCGAACCCATTAATGGAATAATATTGATACTGAGGACTTAAAATGAAATTTAACTGGTTGCTAAATAATTGTGAACAACCCAGACGAAAACCTTGTGGGTAAAGAAGAATACTATTTGCTCAAAGGATTATATTAATGCAACTCAGAATAAACCACAGATTAGATCTGTAGGTAAGACAAGTGAGGTTGAATACACTTCTGAAGGTTAAGAGGCCAATAGAAAATATCCAATATGGTAAAGTAAACTTTGTTATTATATTAATTATACTTAAAAAGAATTAAGGTTAAGCAGATGAGCGGAAATGGACTTACCTGAAGCGCTACATTATCATATTTTATTTTGTATCAATATTAATAAGTAATTTGGTAGACATTTATTAGAAGTACATATTTAAATTGTTTTATATTTATTAATTCCATCCTGAAACCGAATAATAAAGATAATTGATATGAAAAGGACGAAGAACATTATTTTTGTTTAAGTTCAATATTATCAATAATCATAATCAAAATTAATTTTTTTTTTTTTATAAAACTATTCGAAAAAAATACGTAATATTGTAAGAATTTTCAAGTGTTGTATAACCCTCGAAGTAGTAAGCAATAGTTACAGAACGGACTTAATCCGTAACAAATAATAACAGTAATAATATTTATTTTATTTTATTTTTATAATTTAATTTGTTAAATACGGCAATTGGTGATATAAACAATAAACAAGGCTCCTTATCAAGACTTAGGGAACAATAACAGATTTCAGCAAAATGTGTCCTCACAGACCTCATCTTAAGGATATTAATTATCGATAACTTCCTTTAGAGTCCCCTTCCGACTTCACTTCAACCCCTTTCTATTCCTGATTATATAAACCCCATGATCCTCTGGACTATTCACTTTTGCAGTTACATTCTTGAAGTCACACTCTTGTCAGGAGACCTGGAGTGAACTCTTGTAGTCAACCCATATATTCATAGCATTATTCTCTATTTTAAGATGCCATTTGTAACAGACATTATGAATAAAAATATTACTTATAAAGTCTTCACTTCCTCCGATTCGTTAACTAATGACTAAAATTAAATAACAATTCATGAAACAAGAATGGACAAAAAATGACGGAAAAATTATTTTTTTTTTCCGGTTTTCAATTTAACTCCCACTAATACTTGACAGAGCTCAGCAAAAAATATTTTTCAACAGTCCTCACTAAAAATAATGACAAGGAATGTTTGGAAAATCATTATTGGCACAAGGTGATTCCAGAGCAAGAAACTGGAGCGATCTTTCAGCTGGTGTTTTCATCATTAACAAAAATAAAAACAAAAATCTGCTAAAAATTAAAGGAGAGAAAAATTTAGTAAAAAAAATAGGAGTTAAGAGGGCCGACATTTTAGAAATAGTACAGACGAGATGGTACTAGGAACAAGTAAGCATGAACAGATTTGTCTCGTAAATTTCAAGAGGAATTCAATTAAAATTACGAAAGCCACGCAAACAGAACCTATATAAATTTTTTATAATTAAATAAAATTATATATAAATAAAATTAAAATTAATATAAATAAAGGTGTTTAATTACAATGAGAGTGCAACCTATGAATTTATTCAGGAGAACTTTATAGTTAAAAAAACTCGGTCTAATCATTGATCATTGTCTAGTCAAAAATGAACGAAATAATTTTTTTAAACGAAATAATTGAATTAAGCATTCGAAAAAGTCAGATTTAATAAATAATAATAATAATAATAATAAAAGTCCATAATTATAATAGAAAACACCCTGGAAATCAAATTGTCGCTTCCTGTTCGAATGACCCATAAACAGCTATTGCTGCTCCGTATGCAAGTTACGAAAGGAAATTAAGGACTTGTTGATTGGATGACATCCGAGAAGAAATATACAAACATTCAACATCTGTCAACATTCTGTTAATTAAGTTTTCATCGCTGACTTCTATTGGAATTAAAACTTCTCACAAACTAACAACGCGAAGCGACCGAGCCTTGACCTTAAATTATGCTAATTTAAGGCAAACCTTCACTCAAAGACAGCGATAGCTTTTTTTTTTTTTTTTTTTTTCTAAACAGCACCCAGGCCACAATTAACAGTAATGGCCGATTTCACTTCCCTTTTAGCACATACATTAGCATAAAACTATAAGGCTCTTAATTGGCAATAGGAATAAAATATTTTAAATTCACACCGGGCGAGGCGAGGGGAACACGCCTCCGTTCATTTGTTAATTTTCTCGTTAATATTTTAATCTAAACAAATTGCTCCGGTATTAACCCATCATCGGGAGGAGGAAGGACGTCCAAGGAGGGTGAGGACGCAGGTGGAGACCGGCTGCCACTTCCTCGAGTGGTCAGTGTGGGCGGAGTAGGAAGGGCCTCTAAGCTACCGTGTGCTCTAGAAGAACGGGTTCGAATCCACTATCGATCTATAAACACATTTTTTTCCTTCGCTAAATATCGATTTTTTTTTTTATAAACACAATCAGAATAGCATAATCTAAATGCAACTCTCTCCGCGAATTCTCGAAAATAACCCATTAATAATGCAAACGCTCAGACATTCTGTGTGGTAGTTTTTTTTCCCCTAGCTAATTTAGATAGGCTTTTATTTTTTTTTTTTAAATCTTTTCGAAAAATTCCATTTCGAAAAATATAAGGTCTCACTGGACACTATTCATCTATATATCTTTAACAAAAATAAACAATTAAAATAAAAAAAATTAAATTAAAATTCCAAGTTATAAAACCCACTCAGTAACATACTTATAAATTAGTAGCGAATATTAAATAACTCAAAAAATGGTATTTTTCTACCTTTTTTAAAATTTAAAATTATTAAAATAATCAAATAAAAGATGAATTAATTTATGATAAAAACAAATTTACGCGAATTATATAACTTTTAATTACATTCATATATTTTGGATTTAAGAGTTCATAAAATATTTTAAAGTAAATTTTTAAAACTCGTGGTTGGAGCTAACGCATTCGCTTCACAGGTAGAATCAACTTTGTATTCATTTTTTTATCTTCGGGACATCTTTATATATTATTTTTCAAGGTTTATTTTATTTTATTTTTTTTTGTCATTACACCATAATAATAATAATTTGTCATCAAATCCAATGGTTGAACTATAAATATGAAGACTATCAACTCCTTTAAATATTGTACACATTTTTATTTTATTTTTATCTTCTTCTTACTTATTATCGTTAACATTGTTAGCTATTTTATTATTTACATTTTTTTAAATAATTTATTATTTGTTCTATTTAGTATGTACATAAAGTATAAATGAACACTTTTAGCCATAATACTTGTTGCTCTTTAACGTCACATATAGTTTTTTTTATTAGGTTCTTCCTCTTCCTCGCCTTTTAGGCTATATATATATAATAATAGAGAGAATAATTTAAGAGTTAAAAAGTCTCCCTCTCCGAACTCCGTGACGCGAACTCGTAATTATTCTGTATCTTGTAACTTCAGTATAGAATTCTGTATCGTATTCGGTATGTTTGGTTGCCGGGAACCCCGCTCCCACCAACATGTATATAGGAAAAACAAAAAGAAATCTACTTCAGATGAGAAAAATAGGCACACCCCCTCTGCTCCCACCCCAGGACATCTTCAGGTGAGAAATATAGGCATATCCTCCCGAAATTTCTGGAAACAAAGTTGTTGAAAAAAATAAACTTTATCTGCCCATAATTGGCTAAGCATAAAATTTATAATTATACCCTTTATAATTTGAAAAGTTCCTAACTTCCTTAAAAAACAATAAAAAATCGTACCAATATTAGCAAAGACATATGTATACAGATCCTATAGTTTATTTATTTTTCATAAAACCGTACTAATTACCTTTTTGATATAATGTTAATTCTTCCATAATACATTGCATTAAATTATTCCTATATTATACAGTTATTTAATTGACTACTAATACTGGTCAAGATGCTATGTGAATTATTCACATGTACCAACAAGGCTATAATATTTTTATTTAATTTTGTTGGAACAGTTACAGTTATTGAACGCAGATTTTATTGAACGCAGTTATTTTTATGTTTTAAGGAAACAATATGTCAGTATGAAATGTATCATTATCAATTATGAACGTAACGGCAGTAATCAATTTTATCTGAAAAGAAAATATATATAAAATAATCCTGGGTAGCAATAACCGAGTCCGTTACAAATGTAGTTTGATCATTTAAATTAATTTAAAAAATCACTATGATGAATTTCTTTACTTCGTGTTCGGGAAATTATAGTAAGTATTTTATTCAGCGTTTCTAAATATACCTAAATTTATTTTATTTTATGATATAATGTTTATTGAAGATTCGAAAACGGCAGTTGTTCTAATCATCCCAGATAAGGGATAATTGTAAATTTAATTATCTTAGAATCTATTATTAATTAGAAAAACTCACAAATGCTTATTAATAGAAAAACAGAAAAATATCAACGAATAAAATTATGGAATTTTGTTATTAAAAGATGCAGAAATTCAAACAGAGCGAAATCCAGTTCCTATAAATAAAATAAACAAAAACAAGACAAAATACATGTAAATAATAAAAACAGCAAATTACCTTGAAAAATTTTAAATTATAAATGGATTTATAATTTAACATTCATTCAATGAAAAATATTAAAATTTTAGGTGACGTAATTTTCAAACTAAGACATGTAAGATTAAATTAAATAATATGACAGATAATTTGCTGTATAAAATCAAATATTGCTAAATTTCAATTACTGCATTTCTTATAGTATGATACATAAATTATTTTTTTACTTTTTACAAAAAAAAAACTATTTACATTAAATTTTGTAATTTTAGATAGGAAAAATAAATAAACAAACTACTTTTAATTTTTTTTTTAGTGTGTTTGGATATTTAAAAAAATAAAAATCATATTTTACTGAATTTGCAACTTTAGCAATATATATGAAATATAAAATACAGTTTATAATCAACATAAACATTCACAGTTTCATATATCATGTATTTTCATTCATTATGAACTGATTTAAAATACAATGATTATAATTTTCGTAAACAATCATTGTTTTAATATTACTTGATGTAATAAATAAAACTGCGTTATGATATGAAATAAACATAAAGCAACAAGTAGCCATGTGTCAACGCCTAGTCCGAGCGTAACGTTTATAAATATTCCAGTGACGTCAATGATATTATTGATGCAGTTGATAAATAGCCTTCTGTCAGCAAGAAATTATTGTTTTGACGCACAATAATAATCTTTGAAATAGTATTTTTTGCATTTACGCTGAGACAGATGTCACGCTAAATGAGCTTTGATATAACTATTAATACAGCATACTCTTACAACATTATCACCTTCAAACAGTGCAATAAAAATATAAAAGAAACACAGACCTATATTAAATAGCTAGCATTTCTAGTTATTTCTCCACTTCCGTAGTGATTAATATTAAATAGTTTTATATATAGTAATGCTATCTAAAAATAGTAAATATATATCTATAGATTTATTTAAACAAGGAATATTCAAATAATAATTATCAAAAACCAAAACTATAATAAATTAAGAATACATTCGTGAAATAATAATGATCAAGGCCAGGATTTAAATGTTACAAAAATCTTTTTAAAAAAATGTAATATGCAGTACAATATAAATCTGTTTATCTCTGAGGCTCCAAATCCCACATCTCTGTACATTATTCTAACGGCAATTGTTCCACATAAATAAAGCATTATTATTGTTATACACCATTAAAAGTATAATAGTGTGTGTCACAACATGCTACTAAGTAATGAAAGAATGAAATAAAGATAAACTATTAAGCCATAAACAAATCATTATAAATCAATTATTTCATTATTTACATTCTTCATATTCACGATTTTTTTTATCAGTTGAGAAAATTTTTTTTCTCAAGTAAATGATACTTTTCCTGAAAAAATATTAACTATGTTGTTTAAGGCGAGAATAGTTATCCATTAACTTGATAATTAAATATTGTTTTTTAGCCCTCAGGAAATTATAAATGGATGATTAAGACAAGACTGTGAAAATAGATTTCGAACGTTTACATTTTTATTTTTATTTTTTAATAATTTCCCAAGTTAAATTTTGAGGAATGGAGTCTTTCTTTGGGAGTTGGGTGGGAAAATGCGACCCTATGAAGTTTGATAATAATACAAAAAATAAGTAGAATAATTAGCTGTGCCAAGTCCACAACGAAGTTGTACACCAAACATTGAAGTAATCATTAACTATGGTTAATCACGTGAGCCTTTCAGCGCTCATTAAGGATCGCATTGATCAGCCTTAAGCAAACAAAAGGGGGCAGGCCATTGGCTGACACAATGAGCCGATTGTTGCTTCGGCCAATGGGATGATTAATTGAAAGGAATCGGGTCACCTCTTTCGAAATCCTCAACCACTTGTTGACTCTCGTCTTAAATATTTGAAGATTCCGCTCACGGAGCCGATGTCGACACTGAGTTGGTCATCCGCCGATCACAGTCACAGAGTCATGAGTCAGGTAAAACCTTTTTTTTTTTTCATTCTGTTTGTAAGAATTACTAAGTACACGGTTTTGTTTATTTTACACTCCACAGTATCTTATCCACTGATATCACGAAGACTAATGCCGTGAAATCCCACGCCTAGTTTCAGTAAACGTTCACAGAAGAATAACATTATCTGAAGCCCAAGAGAAATTAAGGAGGTAAGACTTGAACGTGGAAAAAATATAGCTTATGATTTTTATTGAAATTTGACAAAAAATAAATTTGAAAAATATAACTGAAGGTGAGCCTACAATTTTTATAATTGTTTGATCGCGAGTAAAATAAAATACCACAAACAAAAACTGATACGAATAAATTAATAAAACAACTGCGATCCTTTTTTACTTCGCTACCGAAAATCAATTTTCAATAAAAACATATGATTTTTTGTCACTGTTTACATACCGGCAAGTAACTATCGTTACGTAGCTATAACTGAGAACCATTTTCAAATGAAGAAATAATAAAAAACATGTTTTTTTTTCACCAATAACAAAGAAAACTGACAACGTTGAATATATTTATTATTAATTTATATAAATAATAAAATTTAAAGATTTAAAAATTCTATTCAATTCTATTCAAAGATTCAAAATTTTTATAATCTTTTTGAATTACCATTTTATATTGCATAGTTGCATTTTTTTTTATTTCAATTTCATTGTACCTAACTGAAGTTTAATGAGAAGATAAAGATAAACAATTTTAATTAGTCTTCATAAATACATTTATTAAATTTTTTAATTATACTTATTATAAAATTTAATAATATTTATTTAAAAATTTAATAATATATATATTAATCTATACTTTTCCGTTAAAATATAATCTTAATTTATATTAATAAAATGAAAATCAATTATTACATTATTTTCTTAATTGTATAATTCGTGGAAATTGTTACTTGGTAGTCCATTGCAGAACAAAATAATTGAATATCATACCTATATAATATAATAATAGAAAGAAAAAAGTTTTTAAATATGAACGCATAATATGAAAGAAAACAGCGCTGTGACATCTCCAGAGATACAACAAAAAACGAGAAGGCAATATACTTTTTATTTTTTTTTTCGCCTAAGATAAGCCCCTACAAGACTTCAATGAATATTTATCGGCATTTAAGATTTTATATCCCAGCGAGGTATAAATTTATCTCGGTCTAAGAGCCTCAATGAATACGCGTACGACAAAGGAAGTACCCCCCAACGCTCTCACTCGTGGCAGTTAAAATTCCACGAGGTAAAAACGGCAGTTAAGCCGAAAACATGGAGACGACTCTGTTTAAGATTTTTTTTTGAAAGATGTAATGGGACCATTATCATTTATTACGCACGTGTCCCTTATTACGGCGGGACCTCGGAAACACCTACGTGTACATCTGTTCTCAACAGGACATTTAATGGTCCTTAAACGTCAATTTCCATTTTTAGTGGCGAAACATCCCTTCAGACGTTAATTATGTTATGAACTACCTAAAAAGAAAAAAGGCCATTTTACAGAAATACATTATCATACAGTTTAATTGTTTATAACAAAATATGCCTCTAATATTTATACTTTCAAAAATAATCAGTAATTATGCTAAACGAATTTTAGAGGATGTTCCGTCTTTGTAAGGTTTGTCACAGATATCCTTTTGCAATGGAACATAAATAACAATATGCACGAATTATATAATGAAAAAAGGAAGTTTTTAAAAATTTCATTTTGCCAATATAAATCAAGAGTATATTTCTACTGAAAATCGCAAATTAAAATATCATATTTCTAAAAGATGGTCTTATGAAACTGACTATAATACGTATTAGTAGAAAAAGGCCTTTTTCAGTCTCGATAAATATTAACTTCACTTCAATTTTATCCAAAATTTCGCCTCTTCAGGCATCTTTAGGGATAATCTGATTTTACAAGTAATTCAAAATTTTCATTATCTTTTTAGAAGTGCATCCACATGCACACTTATTGAAAGAATCCAACTGAATTTGGATAAAATTGAAATAAAGTTATTATTTATCTAGACTAAAAAAGGCCTTTTTCTACTAATATCATATTTCGAATATATATTAATAACAAGTAAATCTCTGGGAATATGATTACAAGAAAAGTACCATTCATTCCATTTAAAAAAAAAAACATTCCTTACATTTATATTTTCAAAATTATTGACTAAATCTGCCTATAGGTTTTACAGTATAATTTAATCACAAATCTATTTCCATCTTTATATTCAATTATTTTCTTCTGCAATGAACTACTACGTAACAATTTGCATGAATTATACAATTAAGACAATATGGTTATAATAATTAATTTTAATAATATAAATTAAGATTATATTTTAACCGACATTTATAAATTAATATATTATATTTTTAATAAGCATTAATAGCAAGTGACAGTCCTGTTGAAAGGTTTAATTTGACTTCAAATAACCCATAGCAGCCTTAATTTATGTTAATGTAATGTTTCATAAAATCTTAAGTTAAAAAAAAAATAAGTACACTTCTTAGACAATCATGACATTTTTAAAAAAAAGGTCTTTATAATACAAATATACTTTAATTTTTTTTTATAACCTAAAAAAAATTAAACAGAAATAATATAAATTAAATAAATCTGGCATTAAAAATGATGCCTGAAATTGTTTAGAATTAGCATGTTTATTAAAAAATGTGAATTTGTTTTTATGCTTACAGGTTGGTTATCTAACAGACGATGAAGATTTTTGACAAGGAAATATTTCTTAAAAACAACATCAATGTTATCTCATATCATCTTTATAACAAATATGAAATAAACAACTGAATATTTTTAGGAATTAATAAATAAAAAACAAATATGAGAAAAATTAAGTTGTCTGTTAATATAATAATTTTATTTTATTTTTTTTTATATTAAAAAAAAAAGTATAACGATCATTAATAGCGACAAAAAATATATATAATTCTGCCATTTGGCCCACTTTTTTTTCAGTTGTAAATGACACTTAACTTGCCTAAAATGGCCTAACTCAATATTTTTTAGATTTGGCACTTAGCCAGTTATTAATGTCCAGTCTTCAATCTTCCACCAAATGATTAATACGGTTTTTAATAAGCTAAAATTGGGTTAATTTCGAATTTAAATATTCTATAAGAAACCAAACTTCAAATTAAGTTCTTATATAGATTTCGCAAAATAAAATAATGTTTTAAACGTAAATTATTTAATGGAAAGAAATTAGATTCACGCCTGAGCAAGGCACTTGCCTGACGAGATTGTATTTCGACGCATTAAATATGCGGAAACGACAGACACTTCTGGAACAAGACAAGGGCGAGGGACTGGATAAAATAATAATAATAATAATATATTATTATTATTATTATCCGTAAAGTGCATTATTTATTTTATTAAATATGTTTATAGATTTTATTATGTTAGGACCTTTGGCATTTCATGGATAATTTTTTTAACACAGTAGTATAGGGAGTCCATTAGCGACTGATTTTTCTTATTCAAATACGACATATTTTTTGATCTCGAATAAAATATAGTAAATAAAAACCAATTTATCTAGAACAATATCACATATCAAAAAAATTAATTTAAAAAAGCCTAAAATTAAAAACGAACGAGTAAGTTTAATCAATTTTTGTAGGTCTTAATTTTTTTTATTCGTTCAATCATTATAGCCATGGAAACCGAATAAAAAATAAAATATTAATATCAAATTATACCTATATTTTTTAAAAATAATATTATTCCTTTTTATTTAAAAAAAATTGAGGAGCTACTGAAACAGCTCATATAAAAAAATAATACGTAAATTATATCTAAGACCCTTAGACTTTTAAAAATGTAAAGAAAATTCAACAAAATAGTGAGCTAACTTTAATCGTATTTTTTCTATGATGACTATTAATCTATGATTATTTTTTATCAAAGCCTGGATTACACTGATTACTTGTAACAAAAAAATCATACAATCCCAACTAATCCTGAAATAATAATAACAGGGACATCAACGCAAATGCTAGAATTCCATTTAAATATACGGTTGTTAAAGGTCGGCAGCTTTAGGCTTATAGTTTAATCCAACGTATTTTAAAAAAAAGCTTAGTCTTTATAAATTAAAAATAAATAAATAGTGAGATGAAATTTCAGTGAAAACCAACTGAATATAAAAAGTCATATATTTTAGAATTCCAACTCATGTTTTGTTACTGAAATAATTAATTGCAAGATTACAACTGGATTCGAGCAATTATTAATATTTTGTATAGGAGAATTTAATTTTTTGTTTAATGCAACAGTGCTTTATTAATTGTTATTCTTTTTACAAAATCCAATTAAATTAAATGATTAAATCACTTGGACGATAAAAAAAAAACAAAAAAAAAAAACATTAAAATATACACAACAATGTTTGTGGATCAATGGAATAGGATTCCAGTTTTATGGCAATTAATAAAGAAATTAAAATTCAATATAATTTTAAAAAAATATAACCGTGAAATCTCTTTAAAAAATCAAATGTCAAATTGAAGAATTACTGATTTATTTATATGTTGGCTTTATTGCTATGCTGTAGAATTAACTAATTATAATCATTTCTGTTTTGAGGGCTTTTCATATGTTTAGTTGTAAGAGTATGCTCGATTATAAGTAAAAGGTAATAAGTAATAAAAATTATTTATTTTTCTTACTTTAAATTTAAATTCTGTGGGTACTTTCGCTAATGTGCACAAATATAAACAAAACAAATTACATACCCAAACCTTTCTTTCTTGGGTTTAGAATTGTTGTCACATTTATTTATCTTTTGGTTTTATTGTCATGCTGTAAAAATATTTCACAAACCTGTTTATAAGTATTGTGAGAAGGATATGTGAGAGTTTATCTTTCAGGAATTCGTCGAGAATATTACAGAAGGTCAAACGAATTTATCAGGACATCACGATTATTTTCAACGGCAGAAAATTATTTCTGATCTAGAGGATAACGCAATTAGGTTTTTGAAATTCCTGATGATACCTTAACTTTTCGATGATGTTTCCTCGAATTTGGATGTTTCGGAAAATATACGTGAACTGACAAATGTGACGTTTGATGGCTGAGATGTACATGTAATTGTTTCAACGACAGACTCTGACACATGGCACACTTATTGCTGATAGATGGAAGATTAAAATTGTATCTAACCTTCCGACGCCGAATGCTATCGTCACCGGAACAAACAACCAACACACAGTCCCATGGCCGGGTACAGACTGAGTAGCTGCTGGCTTCTATGTCTGGTAGTGGGGAGACTACGTCATTGTACTCCGGCTCTGTGTGTGAAGTCTGTCCATTCATAGTTCTGGAAGTTGGGCCAGGGGGTAATGAACGATACGAAGAATTTGGGCTGAGAGTAGAAATTCCTATGACTTCATCAATGACGTCTGTAATGATGAAAGAAATGTGCAGCATCGTTTGATAGGAGCAGAACGAATTTTAACGCCCAAATTAATCAGTAGGAACAGTTAAATAATTTCTGAATTACTTACCGGAAATAATTACCTGAATTACCTAACAATTGAGAGTAATGAGACTGACGGTTTTCGTGGAGAACGAAATATTGATTCCATATGACCAAATGGGCCTGATAATGATAACGTATTCGTTTTTTATCATAGCTCCTTATTTACGTTTTTTGATGTGCTTTATCGTGTTTTTTTTTTTGTCAATTATTTATTGAGAAATATTAAAATCTGTCACATCTAAGGACAATAGTAATGGTAATAGAAGAGTAGCTCATTCACACATGTACAATAAATAAACATCAAAATAATTACTATAAAAATAAGTGAATGTATAAAAATAAAATAAACTAAACAAATCAAAGTAACTACTAATCAAAATATACACATGCTTATCTTCCAAATAAGCTCCCTTTTTTGCATATTTTGCATTCGAAGGAAGTCCATATCTTCATTATCATTTCTGGTAATGTCCTTGATTTCTGTGTAATGATTAGGTGATGTGGCTCACCTTTTGGATTGAAGAGAGAAACACTTTATTTTGATATCAAATATAAAAGATTCCTGCCGAATTATATTGGGTTGCTTTATACACAGCATACTCGTTAATCCGTAGGACAATAAATGAACCTATATATAAATATACAGAAGTGGTTAGTTTATATGAGTATTATATATATATATATATATGTGTATATATATATATATATATTTTTTTTTTTCCTTTCATATTCATGCTATTTTTTTTCTTTTTTTTTTAACATTTAATTTCTCTTTCTCTCACTGCTCTCTCTTTATACACCTCTCCTATACACAATATTAAGATGCTTAAAATTATAATGGAACAATAACAAAAAACAAAGGTGTATACATCTAGAATTAAATAAAATTTAATATGAAACAAATATAATGGGTATTTTTTCATTAAAATTAAAATTAAAGATAAATTTAATTTTCAAACAAATTTCGTCGGCGGTGAGGAGGTCCAGAATGTATAAGTCGATTAAATAAATGATTTAATATATTGTTCAACTGATCCGTAAAATTTGGTATGTCTCTCGGTAATGAAATCCTTAGCTTGGGGCATATTTATTGTCTCATGAATTTTTAACACTTTCTCTATCTGCAAGGTTGTACCTTTAACTACTTTTCTTAACATTACATTTTGATACGATTGTAACCTTTTTTCTGTTGATTTGTTAAACAATAAAAACAATTGTGTGCCATTAAAAAATATCAGGACGTATTATAGTTTTGTAGATTAAAATCATTAGGCGCAGAGGGAGATTTGTGAAGGATAAACGATGACTTAATCGGTACGATTTATGTCTTGCGATTTTATTTATTTATAAAAACAGATAATTCTTAACGTTTCAGCTATGAGGATTTCAACTAAGATGCTTTTCAAGATAGCTCGCGGATCTATTTCATAAGGATAAGTAGAATATAATTAAAACACCGTGAGAAAGGATATAATAAAAGTGATTTCATCGGACTACAATAAATTTTAAATTTACTTGAAAATGATATTAACTTAAATTAAAACCTAATCTCAATTGTTTGTAGACCTGTATAAATTTAAGCCTCCCAAGAGAATACCAAAGAGATCAAAAGTATTTTTAGAATTATGCCTAAATAATTATTAATTTATTTACTTTGTTTCATATCATTAAAGTTTTAAAGAAAAATTAACGAGGAATATAAGAAATAAAGCATTTATTACAAAATTGATTATCATGATAATAACAGTTATTATAATAATAGTCTATTCAATAAAATAATAATAATTATTATTATTTGTTTTGTTCCTTCTTTTATGCGTGCTATTAACTTGCATTTATTCCCTCCTGTCATGAAACCAACTCTTTTTCATAACACTCATTTAAATTAATAGTATTTATTTATTCAGTTTACTTTTTTCTGTACCCTAATTTATTTAATATATTCAGTTGATGTGAACTAACTGTAATAATTATCCGATTCTAGGTGAAAAGAGAGCTGTAAAACACTGTTTAAAGCAGGGATTGAAAATTGTATACCTTTTTAAAAAGAACAATTTTAACGGTAACTGTGAAACATTTTAAGGAAAAAGTTCTTAAAATAAAAGTTTTAAGTAACTTTTTTAATCCGCGGTACAGACCCCTTTTTTCAAATTATTAACATCCGCCTGAAACTTTGTTAATAGCTTCATCTTATCGTAACCTACAAATATTATTTTTGCCGAAATTCTCAGAATTGGAGGTCGGCAAACTTTGTCTATTTAATAAGGTACTAAAAACTCGTAAATACACATTTGCTCTTCACTTGGATTTACGATAATATGATCACAAAATCGATAAAAAGGCGACTTACAAAAACATTGGGCCGCATGGGCTATATAACCTCGTTATTTTGCAAATTTGGGGGTATGGGTCTCGTCAAAAGGCTCAATATTCTTTTAAGGCCACCTTTTCCACCGACTTTTCGCTCATGTTATCTTACGATTCAAGAGGAAAGACAATGTGTATTTACGAGTTTTTAGTACCTTATTAAATAAACAAAGTGTGTTAGGCCTCCAGATTGAAAACACAGTAATTCCGAGAATTTTCATAAATATAATATTTGTAGGTTACGATGAGATGAAGTTATTTACTAATTTTAATAACGCTAACAGTTTGAGGATGCTAATAATTTGATAAAAAGGGGTTTGTACCATGGACTATTTTGTAACAAAGTTCCAGGTATAAGATAACAGTTTAACTTTTATTTATGTAAGTTTTTAAAAGAGTTTCAGTTAAATGAAAAATAAACAGTACTTGTTTTTAGACAATAAAAGATTTTTTAAAAATAAAAGTTCTGTAAAAACTTCACCTGAAATGTTGCAATAGAAAAAATTCTAGTTCCAAAAATACTGAAAAACAATCGAAAAAAAATCACAAGGAAAAATGTATCTTCTGGGATTAATAAAAAAATATATATATAAAAATAACAAAATTGTGACTCTAAATGCCAAAATTAAGTAGGCCCTTCTTCGCAAGAATACTAGTAGCGACAGACTACGTTGTGGCACCAATACAGTATATATTAATATGATTTAGAAACATTGACATAATTCTTTATCGACATTAGACGAGAATAAAATACTTGCCTGATAAATCCAAGCAGACAAGATCTAAGAAGTGCTTAATTATTCAAATTTCAAAAATCATCTAATGGCGACTATAATTAAAGTATGTTTTAATAGTTTGAGTTTATGACAAGTTTGAAAATCAAGCATTAAAAAACAAATAAAACGAACATGATGCCTAGTGTGAAACTGATTGATCTATAGACGAAATAAAATTTAATTCACAACATTAAAGGTGTACATAACTGTGGTACCTGTAAAAAGTAGTGTTAAGTGCAATTTTGTGAATTTTTGTTGTTATCACCGGAAAGCTAATTTTTGCATCTTTCTTTGTGTTTAATGGGCTAAATTATGGGGATATTACGGATATGGACATTGCTTTGTGAAACATGGGTCGAAACTCGAAAATTGAACTAGTAACTGTGAAAATACCAAATTTTCAATTATGTTTTTCCATAAATATAATTTTTGCACTTAACATACTATGCACAGATGCCACAGATATAAAACAACGAAGCAACATAACGTATATCAATTATTAATGAAACAGTGAAGCATACTGATTTTTCATCGAAATCTACCTGACAAATGTTGTTTAACAAAATGCAAATAAATTAAATATAGAATAATAAAAACTACTCCAATCTGTAGTAGCGTAGTGGGATGAAACAGTCTTATAGGTTTTTTTTTTTTTTTTTTTTTTTTTACTTCTCATGAATATATGAAATATGAAAATTGAGATAAGCTGTGTGGCTTCTGTAATGACTAAATATTTAATTTATAATTATTATTATACTATGGATAAAAATTTATATAAATATTTTTTTTAATTTCTTCCTAACCGAAGTTCTGATCACAAACATATACGTATAAAAACGACAAACTTACGATAGAGACGTATTACAGGTATATTTTAGTTAATCCAATTCCGATTTCATAAAAGGTACAAAAAAAAAAACTTTGTATCAAGGGAAATTAACAACAAAGAAGTGTTGAAATGTAAAATGGAACCCATAAAGGTTGTGGAAATACAGTTACTGGAGAACGGGAGTGACCAGAGAACATGAATTATTTATAAGAGCGGCTAACAGTTTAATCGTATGCAATAATTTGCAACAATAACAGCAAAAGGTTTCGATTATTTATTTGTACAGGTTGGAATCTACGGTAAAATACGTAAGTCAAATAAAAATAGCTATTCTCTTGAATAGTAAGACACCAGAAACGTCTGCAAAACATGAAAACATTGTTTTGTTCTTCAAATTAGCTTGTTCTTTCCACCAGTATCTAATTCTTGCAAGATTCAGAAAAAAATATTAAAGTTTTAATTGATTTTTTGAAAATAACAATTTGATTTCGTTAACTCCCATTGTCTTTCCCTTGTTAAGTTATTAAAGCGTGTTAATTACATTTCCTTTTATATTGTTAAAACTTTTTACAGCAGTATAAATAATTTGATTATGAAAAATAACAATATTGTACCCAGAAATGGGCAAAAATCTATGAATTGCCAATGACCATTGCTGGTAGAGCCCAACTCGAAAATAAAAAAATAATTATTCCTCGTTATGATTTATGATATGTATGCCCATTAACAATATACAACAAAAAATTTCAATAGAAAGTAGTGATAACCATTTCCTACTTACAATATGTTAACATAAATAACGTATTTATGTATTATTAGTGGCTTATAAATATTTTAGAAATTAAAATTATTAATGTATAAAAATTATGTTCTTTTCAAAATAGGAAATCTAGAGAGCCATCCTCTATTTCAAAATAGTAAACAAATTTAATCAACTAGGAAATGCTATAAGAAATATAATAAATAAAAACAGAAT